AAATAACAACGGTCGAAGTAATTATAATAACAATAATAATACTAGTAATAATAATTATACTAACAACAATAATGATAACTACGTTAAGAACAATAGAAAACGGTAATAAAAACATTCCTCATAAGGAAGAGGATATTAATTCTATTGTTTTGTCTCTTACGGCATATCATAATAATTGAAAACAACTTGAAAATATCAACAAAAAACAGTCTGCAACTGCAGTTTTCATCCAAATTCAGTTATTCTGTGAACAAATATGGTTGTGCTTATGAGCAATTGTGTTATGGAATCATAAAGCATAAAGCAATGAGAGTCATTGAAATGCTAGCCAACAACAGCAATGTTATTGTGGTTGATATGAAATATTCTCATCGCTTTCAATGAACTGAATCCAATGGATAATACATGATTTGCCGATTTTGATAAATTTTCATGTATGTGTTGTAATGTTGAATATAACGCAAGAAGAACTGCATAAATCTTGGTTTTGAAACGATAAAGTAAAAAAAATCAGATTAGAATTGATTACGCAGATACATATGCTAGATCTGAGGTCAAACGATGCAGTCGTCAGTAATCATTTGCAGTTTGATCATAAAATTGAAAATGAAAAATAAAGCCGAACTGACCTTATCATATGAGGAGGAATTGTCAGCATTGCTTTCGTCAGAGTTTATTGAGTCATCACGTTGTGGTTGAAGACGTTGTTGTGAGGGATTATTGTGGATTGTGGTTGAAGACGGCGATTTCTGCGAAGAGGACGTATTGGATGATGGTGATACGTTGCTGGTGCGTAATGGCGACGGTGTACTAACAACACTGCTGCTGGATTTTGTTGTGGTGTTGGGAATGCTGCTAGTGCCTAGTGCTGCTGGATTGCCGAAATCTTTGGCGTGCGGTGACGATGTGCATCCGGCATCGAACGATGCCGAAAATAGATAGTCACAATTGTCGACGGCCGTTCGAGACTCACGATTCCCCATCGAATGCTGTAAATATGGCTCGAATTTAAATCCTCCATCCGATTGCCATGTAATTTTGAGGATTTTTATGTCAATTTTTTTTTCGAAATACTCATTTGAATATAACTGGAATTTTGGTTTTTGGTTAGCTGGAAAATGTCGTCTGATGGATATTTTTTTAATGAATTTTGCTTTCATGATTTGGAATCTCATTATAATATTATCGCATCTTAATTTCATCTTAATTCTCAGTGATCGTTCGCTGCTGCGTTCGTTTGACGGACAGCTTTTTCATTTCCGAGCAAGAAATCAACGAATTGAAATCAACTCGAATGATAGATAGATAGAGCAAACAGTTAATTCTATTCACTTTATCCATTATTCATTATTCACTGATGTTGTTGATAAATTCAAATGCATCACATCATCAACAAAACTTGATGGATTGAATGAATAAAAATTCTCACATCAGCAGCACAACACCCGAAAAGACCATCGCAAAAGTGCGGCAATATTTTGCTCGCAAATTTGATCAGATCAATCACTAATCAACACAACACAGATGTGCTAGATGTGCTTCTCATAAAAGCACATCTAGATTTATGATAATATTTCGTGAAGATGGCATTCTGTATTACCGAGGCGAATAAACTACCATGAAGCAGTGTGATTTATTGCGATTGCAATCAAGACGACGAAAACCGTCAGTGGCATCAATGTTGATGATGCACAATAGTGCAACGACCATAAAACGTCACAGACATATTTTCGTGTGAAATTTTGAATTATTGCGCTGAGGTTGGTTAAACGCGCTGAGAATGATGCACGTTCATGATGGTGCACTTTCAGAGGTCGAACAAACACATATAAATCACATGATTTGTTTGGATTAAACACAATAACGTCTTCCTTCAACAACTAATATCCGAGCTTCTTGGGAAGTCCTGGCATACGGTTGACAATAAATGAGTTCAATCAAAATCAGCAATTTGGCATGGCGAGTGCACAACTGACATTAAGGATGCACATATTGAACTGCATGTCGCAAAAAATCACTCATAAATCGCTCATAATAGAAGAGCAAGAATTGCTATTGTTTATGTGATGAAGCATAAAAATTCTGAAATAATGAATCGGAAAAATCATCACCAAAACCGAATGCGCTGAAAGTAGTTGAGTAAGTGTAATCACTTCACCTTGTGCATGAGAGTGCCAAATGGGATCGATCATTTGCCTCGTAATTAAGTTTACCGAAGGAATGAGGGAATGTATACTTGAAACTCGTCGAAGTTTATTAAACTAATTTGAATATTATTCAACTTTATGAAGAGCTTGTTAAACTGTGCGAAAATTCAGAGCTGAAAGTTATGCTTGCTTCAATGAGTGATCAAACGAACCTTATAAAAGAGTCGTCGTAACATCATTCGATGTTGATCCGAAAATGATGTGTTATTCGAAAATAGTGATGGTGAAAATCTGCAGTTTTGAATACTAGTAAGCTGTGAATGAGAGGAGTGCGAATTGATGGCGAGCACGAAACAATTTCAATATTAACGTCGGAAATATGTCAGAACAAGATACTGGAATCTCGACTCTATGGTCACATGAAATTTTAACGAACTCTTAACGAAAAGTGCGTTCACTCGCTGAATGAATATGCAACTCGAACGAAGAAACGTGTGAGAATATTATATACACAACTACTCGACTAAATCATCACTCTATTGACATAATGTAGTAATTTTGGTGTCTATTCACGATTTAGAAACAACGCTTAACGTGATTGCGACTGTATGACGAGCACGGGATGACAAATCCGACATTGAGGTGATGATGAAAAAAGTAGAAAACATTATCAAATACACTAACACCGGATTAAACACTTAATTTTGTAAATATTTACCATGCTCATCGTCGATAGAAGCAGTATTTCGAAGAGGTGCGAGAGGCTAGCTCAAGGAAGGAGTACTTGAAGAACGCGAGACTGAATGGATGAACATTATTCACTTGAGAATTTCAGTCATTCACCTAACTAACTTCATAACACCTCTTCTGCACTGAAGACTAACAACAACCAAATAATAATAATCCAGTTGCTCATCACCTCCTACTATTCAACACTTATATAAGATAAATGCTACTAGCTTTAATGGATCAGTGAAATAAATGCTATGCAAATACATATCCAGTTTTGATTCCGATTCACCAGTTACAGCTTATGCATAATCATTCAAGAACCACATCATTTGACGACTATGCTCATGGTAAAACCTGTTGCAATAGGCACTTTTCTTTGTGATGNGCCAAACACTGTGTAACTGTTTAATGGATTGCTAAAAATAAAATTCCATATGATATGTGATCTTGCATGAATCATTTATGACTGATGATGCATATTGGCTGATGAGCGCTCTAATGAAGTCTATCTAGTTGGTTTTGGAATTTTTTATGACTGCAGAAAAATAAACCTTTCATAATTTCAAACGATAGCAAATCTGGATAGCGTCACAGGGGATTCATTGTGTTCTTTGAGATTCTAGTAATCAACTGAACTGTTGGGAACATGCAGTAAACGACACGGATTCGATGATACTTCTTCCATGATGGAGAAGCGAAAAACAGTGTGAACAAATCTGGGGCTTC